GGAACGAAATGGTGAAATGCATTAAAACCAGCATGCTCCTGAATCCAGGTGAGTCAGGGCTAGGTGAGTTCCTTACAGAAGTCCAGAGCCAGGTGGTACTATCCCTATTTTACAGATGAGGGAATGGAGAGGTAATTAATTTGGATGAATAATTACTAACAGGGATATGGGCCAGGATCTTTCTTAGTTGTTCTTTTTAAAGTAGTCTCATAATAAACCTGGGTTGTTGATAAGGTATAAAGAACTCTGCACACAATAAAAGATAAAGTTATGACAAGAAATCAATATTCTGAGAAGCAATAATATAAGAGAAAAGGCAGGGTGACTGAAAAGGCTTATGGGTGAATATTAAAGATCACAAAGAAGAATGAGGTAGGTAAAGAAGCTTCCAGAAGGAAGCAGATCAGAAGTATGAGGCTCCTATTGAGAACAGCCAAATAGAGAATGGTCACTGATTCACAGTGAAGCTGTGATGGACTAGCAAGTGGATAAAGAGAGCAGATGCTTGAAGCCTAATGTTCTTAGTAACCCTCAATAAACAGACAGATCCAGGTGCATAAGGGTGATTAGTATGTGTGGGAGGATATGGAAATGTTGCCAGTGGTGGCACGGGGAAAGGAAGCAAGGTTTGGCATTAGGAAAAAAAACTTGACACATCTGCTGTTCTCCTCTCTGTGTGCACTTCCTCAACCAAGCTAGCTGAGGACAAGGGTTGAGATCAAGGTGAGGCTGAATGGCTGGAGGGGAGGTAGTGAGGTGCTCATAAGCCATCGGGAAATGCCTGGAAAAAGCTGAGCCTTTTGGGAGCCACACAAGAAGAGAAGGGACTATATTCTGTGGTAGACAGAGAAATAAGGAGCTGAGGGAATGATTTTTCAATCATCTGGATTTAACGGCAGTAGGACAGATGAGTAAATGTTCTAGGAACCCACCCTGGCTACAGAAGCCCAAACCACCCCCCACACACCTGGACACATTTACCAGGACCTTCGAGAGAGCTCAGAACCATCTCAACTCCAATGCAGTTTTGCAGGGTAGTTAAGGATGGTTCTAGGTCTTGCTTTTCTTCTCATGCAGCCTCACTAGACACCCACATGATCAAGGTAAAGCCCTGGATAGAGATGTGGTGGGTAAGAACGGAGGTTAGCATGTTCCTTAGTGCACCCACCAGTCAGCTCTCTTTAACAGGGTCCGGTCTGGTGGAGGAGCTCATTCATACCACAATTATATTATCACCTCCTCTACATGGTGTTACAGGGAAGTGAACTGGGATAGGAAAAGGAGGATGCACGGTGAGACTGACTGCAATGGTGCAGAAGTTACAATGCCACAACTGGGAGCCAGAAAGATACACTTTAAAGAAAAGATACATAGGATTTGGATATTTTGGGAGAGAAGCACACCAACAGTAACAATCATAGGAAAAGTATAAAGGGAGAGGCAAGTGCGCTGTGTCTGGGGTTGGATGAGTTATCTGTCTGTCTGGAATAGAGGTTCCAATGCGTTGGGAGATGAGGTTGAAATTTATGAAAGAGACTTTAACGATACGAGGATTTCTGTGTTTTCTGTGTAGGCAGCAGCAGCAATTGCTGTTCTACTTAAGGGGGAGATATGTGTCTAAGAGCGCAAGAAATAAGAATTATCCAGCCAGAATGGATAAGAGAGCTAAGTCTGGAGTCTGGGAGTCCTGAGGGAAATATGTGCCAAAAAAAAGAAAGCCATTTCCATTAGGCACTGGTGGCTCATGCCTGTAATCCTGGCTAGTGAGGAGGCAGAAATCAAGAGGATCATGGTTCAAAGCCAGCCCTGGGCAAACAGTTTGAGAGACCCTGTCTCAAAAAAAGCCATCACAGAAAGAGGCTGGTGGAATGGCTCAAGAGGTAAGAGCACCTGCCTACCAAGCATGAAGCCCTGAGTTCAAACCTCAGTGCTGAAAAAAAAGAAAGAAAAGAAAACCATTTCTATTTTCCAAGGATCTTGACAGCAGGTCATCTTCCTCTTATATCTCCAATTCTTCATTGTGGTGGACTAAAATTCTTACAGTAGTGAGTAAGCATATCTGAAGAGATTTTGTTGAATAATGCCAGAACATAAGGTATCATTGGTTAAGCATAAGATTAAATGTTCATTTTTTTCTAGACTGCAACTAAGTTCTTCTCAGTATTGGTTTATTTTAATGCAACTTGGAAGTATAGGAAGATTGTTTGAGATGGGCCTGAAACTAAGTTAGAACTAAAACATTTATTTTGTCATGTGGGAGACCTCTTCACATGGCTAGAGCACTTAAATTGTAATGTAAACTACTTGATGTCTGTTTATCTCACAGGACTCAACTCTTCCAAGGCCATGGTTGTATCTTGTATATTCATTGTGTGCCCTCAAATTCTACCTCATACTTTTTAGATGACTGTTGAATGGATGAGTGGAGAATGATTTTTATTAAGGAAATATTTCTCTGCTTCTTGTTATTCTAATTTATCCCTTAATTCAAATTTGTAAATGATTGCTGTAACTCTGAATATTAAGAAATTTGTTGGGGCTGGTAGAGTGGCTCAAGTGGTAGAGTGCCTGCCTAGAAAACATAAGGCCCTGGGTTCAAACCAGTACCACCAAAAAAAAAAAGAAAGAAAGAAATTTGTAAGGACCATTTGGAAAGGAAAGTATCGTAGCTGCACTTTGGTGCTACCTATAGTGTTATTCCCATAGAGGTATTTTGGTCTATCTGAGCATAGATGGTTGTGTGTTAAAAAGTGGCAGTCCCTTGATGTCCTTAGGACTATCTGAGCAATAGGCACTGCAATAGAGGGCCACTGGTTTGGAAATCAGGTGGCCTTGGTTCTAGTGCTGTCCACTCAGAGGATCCTCATGCGTGGAATGCTCCTCCCAGCCTTTTGCCTAGGTGATGCCCCCTTGTCCTTAGTCACCACACAGCTTGTCACATCCTTAGCATCCCCTGTCTCAGCTGTCCCCTGAGCCAGCTTTAGTTCCTAGTCTGAGTTCTCATGGGACTCTGTGATTTCCTTTTGTAGCAAGTAATTGTTGAAGGGATTATTTAGGCTGTAACTTTCGCAAGGGCAGGAACATGTCTGTTGGTTTCACCAGTGTCCCCAGCACTTAACACTGTACCTGGCACAAACAGTATTCTGGATAAACACTTGAGGAAGCCAGTGGACTGTGGTGGACCCTGTACATTAGATTCCAGTTTCCTTATCTGTTTAAAACCTGTATATTAGCCATTAACAATGTTACTGAAGACGTTCTTTCTCTTCAAAGATCTTTGGATTAACTTTTCACAATTTTTATTATAATAGTTATTCACACCCATGATAGCAATTCAAACAGTACAATAGAATTTAAAATATATCCAGTCCTTCACCCAGTGCAATAAATATTAAAAACTACTTGTCTGCACCTACAGAATAAAATTGAATGAGCTACAATAATCCAGAGTTGAATCGGTTAACAATGGGATGGGGTCATTTCCCTTGTTTCCAGTCCCCATGGACCAGCTTCCATATTTCAATTTCAAGACACTTCATGCTTTTTAGTGAAGGGATGTAACTGTCATGGAGGAATCTATGCTGAGAGCAGGTGGGGCCAAGGCCTTTTGCTAAATTCCTATGCTAGCCTGCTCCATGCTTTTTTCTAGCTGATCCATGTAGAGATTTTACTATTCTTGGTGAGCCTTTGAAAGTCCTCTCTTTTCAAGGATTTGAGCTCACTTCCAGATATTATTTAATAAAGTAGTAAGGCAGGTTGAATAATTCAAGGTTATGTGTGTTTTGAATGTTTTTAATAAACTGGATGTTTAAAAAATAAATATTTGCCTAAAGATTTTCACCTTAAAAAGCACTTCCTTATGAGCTGTTTGGTTCCTAGGGTAGTTTTATGTGGTTGAGGAAAATTATTGAGGGAATGAGATGCAGCAAAATGGAACTTCATGAACTTGAATGGAAATTTGTACAACCAATTCTAATTATGTACAAAAACCAGAATTATATAAGTATGGGCACTTTTACCCCCCACAAATTTTACTCGAGGTCTGATGGGAAGGTGATTTTGGTCATGGGCTGTAGGTTACAGTGGGTTCATACTATTATCGAGTGGTTTATGTTGAGGGTGGGAGAAGGTAAGGGAGGAGCAGGGACAGGCTCATGCTGCCTGACTCAGCCTCTGAAGCAGTTCATGACTAGGCATTAGAGACAGAGTAAAGTTTGAATTATAGACTTTCCCAAATATTGCTGGCAGGGCAACAGCTGTTTACTGACAGCCAGTTGCTTAAGAAGCAGCTTGTGCCAGATGGAATCCCTGGGCTCTAGAGCCTGACGGACTCAAATGTTCAGGAGGTTCAAGTGAGCCTGGGTTGGAATTTGCCAAGATGATGATTACCTATTTAATATTAACCAGTGTAATACAAGCTCAGTACTAGAATAGTACTCAAAACCAAGCATGTATCCGCCTGCTCAGGTGTCACTCACTACTTAGGTGATTTGCTTGCAGGGCTCCTCTACCAAGATACATCCTTAAAAAGGATGTTTCTTGAGTACTTCAGCTGCCATTTCTACCTCGTACCTTCTGAGGAAGGGCCTAGGTGAGAAGGGTAATGCAGCAAAATTCTCTCAGCAATCCTACCTGCCATCTTCTCTTTATTACATAATACAGAAAGGATGATTTCCATGTATCCAAGTACTGTTCTTGTTCCTTTTATTTTCCATAATATATTAGGAATAATGTGTTAGTAAATGTGAACATTTATGATATGTCAGAGATTTTACAATCATTGGAAATGTTTACAAACCTGCAAAATAGACAGCATTAGCCCATTTTATATTATGTAATGTTTAAAGCCACAGATCCAGGTGACACAGCTGGGATTTGAACAAAGTTCTTTCAAGTTTCAAAGTCCATGTTCTTTCTAGAAATAATATTAAGTGTAGTTATAATATGGTTTACCATATTATAACTGTGTTCTGTACCACAGAACAGTAATTATTACAATAAACTTATAAGGTAGCTGTTATCTATTGAAGTAAAATTGAGGATAGGAAACTAGAGACAAGGAAAGTAAGTTGCCAATATTATTTGGTAAATAAACAGACCCAAAATTTGAACCCATTTCATCTGTGTATAAAGACTTTTACCTTCTGGGCAACACCACCTACTGTAGTTTTATGGGTATGATGTTGCAAACTAGGTAGAAATCAAAGTAAAGAGTTATGGACAATATGGTTGAGAGGAGCTGGGGATAATTCAGATTGTAGGTTGAATCGAATCAAACTTTCTTTTCTTTCCTCTATAGGTGTCTGCCTCCTCTGGTGCAACTGGCAAGTCTTCTAGTATGAATACCACAGGAACCAAGGTACAAAGGACCTTAAGAGTCAAGTTGGGTGAATGCCACTTTAAATCAGTTATATTGTAGTTTGATTTGTGAGCAAATCAAAGGCAAAATAATTGTTGACAGACAAGTTATGTCTTAGGAAGATTACATTATGGAAGTAAACACTTTCTTCCTAACTTAAAGAGGCCTTTGGAAATTCAGTTCTTCTAATATTTACCTTGAACTCATATATAGACATTGTTCTAGAATATCTAGAAAAAGGAGTTACCTGGAGTTTCCTTTTGTTTGTTTGTTTTTGCTTTTGTTTTTGTGATTAAGTTTTTGAAATGAAGATAATTTCTCCAAATACATTTCTCTGGACCTAAATACGAATATAGATTCTAAACATCCTACTAAAAATGGTTCTGATATTTTGATGTGCATTTTAAAATGAGAAAGGTTACATTAAGTGACATAGAAACAAAGGAAACAGGTACTGGTTACTTCAATTATTTTCTGAAACTTGAGTCATGGCGAATATTTCCTATTGACAAACCTTTGCTGAGCTCTATTTGTAATTTATTCTTATAATTATTTCTTGGAATTTCAGAATTAGAAATAAAAGAATGTTGTCCAGTGCAGTTGTTACATAGGGTAAGCCTGTTTCTGAGAATTGCCTAAAGTTACCATAGTCCTGTCCCTTAGTTACTGTGTCTCATGCTGTTTCCTAGAATATACCAGTGAGGGTTGAAGAGGGGACATTTTCAAACTGCTCACAACTCATTCTTATGAGAGCTACTCCAGATCCATTGTCAGTAAATTGCCTTGTTGACTTTCTGTCTTCCATATTACTGTGCTGTCTCAGTTGTTTCCTATCCCAGGGGATGTGGCAGCATGAGTTAGTGCCACCAGGGATGCTGTGGTCTTATCTTGAACTAAAGCATTGCAAATATCTGCCTGTATTTATGTAAGATCTTTAAATGCCATTTAGCATTCATTTTATTTTTTAAGCATATTTAATCTAGACTTTAATATTTTACACTTAGATTGGTTTCTTACTTATATTAAAATATACATTATATGATCTGTGAGTAACCTATTAAGCTCTCACTTCTACTTATAGCAAGCTTAACTTAAAATTTTTTTTAAAAAATTTGTGATTGGTGCTAGGGCCCCATGCCTCCCACTCCCAAATCCTATCAATCTTAAAATAATCTTAAAATACTAAAGGAGAAGCATCTAAAAAATTCTCATCAAATTTACAATCCATAAAAACTAAAGAAAGGAGGAAGAAAGGAGAGCCATAAGTACAGGATTTACTTTTCTTTGTATTACTTCACTTGTAAGCTACTGCCTGATTCTAATCCCCTGTGTCTCAGAGAGCCAGTGTTTATTTCAAGTGTGCCCTATTTTCTGGAGCATGTGTCAGCAAACTTCAGGCATCATGAAACATTAAATCTTGAGAATCCTTGGTAGTCTAATGAAAGTGGGGGAAGGGAGGAGAGTAGATGTCAGAAGACAGGGAGAGACAAAAACAAGATGCAACAATGAAGTGCCACCACTGCCTTGGGACCACTTTGGCCTCAGCTTCCTTGGTGTATTTCAATGACACTATGCTCACTAATTGTCTTATCTTCATATGCTTCTGGTGTTTGACTCATGGCAGTTGCACCAGCCTCCTCTTGGAGATGTTTGTCAGATTGAACTTGATAAGTTTCTGTCTCCAAATACTTTGAACTTTTAGAGTAAAAGTGCTCATTCAAGAAAATACTTACACTAAATCCTTGTCTTATTCTACATCTTTAAAAAACTCAGTCTATGTCTGAAGAGGGATGATATGACTAGGTCTATGTTCTTTATCTCTTGCCCTTGGCACGTTAGAATTGGTGTTCACACTGTTGAGTATAGGGGTCAAACCATTTCTAATCAGGATGAAATCCTTGAGAGATTGTGTAACATGGTCACTGGAGCCAGGTGGCATAGCTCGGAAGCCTGTTTCTCCACCAGATGTGATATTAGACAACCTCTCTTTGCTTTGGTTTATTTGCACAATCTGAAGGAAAATGGTAATAGTGACCATTTGAGAAGACTGCAAAAGGAAAGAAGCATATATTGAACAATGCCTGTCCACTAGCTAATGCCCAGCATGAGTTAACTGTTGGCCAATACAGGAGAGCAGTGCAGCGTTGTGACTGAGAGGATACAAGTCCAGCTCCATCTCAGGTGTCCTTGGGGGTTATTTAACTTCTTTAACCTCAATTCCCCATCTGAAAAATAGGTAGAATGAAAATACCTGTCTCATCAGGTTATTATAAGTACGAAGTGAGTTGACATAGGTAAAGGCTTAGAGCGCATGCCCTGGTACCTGGAAATGATTGATAAACACTGAAATTATTTATCACGGTTGCTATTATGTTCAGCATCACCACTACCAGCAATAAACTCATGATTACTGATTTAAATGCACATTGCATTATAAGCTCCTATATCTATGACTATACATTCTTAACTGTACTGCCGAATTCTCCCATACAAAGTCTTGATCACTAAATGACAAACTGGAAGCTATTAATAGATTCAAATCACTACAATACCAACTGGCTTATTTTCTTTGTTAATCATTTAATAAATTACATTTGTATAAATTTTTAAAAAAAGGATGCTTAAACTGAGTTGTATAAGCAGAACTGCATTAGCAAGGATGCATTGTGAAAGGATCCCAAATTTAAAATTTCTTTAAAAACATTTCTTTGATCATGAACTTTGATTTCTTCCCCAAGCAATAAGTGTATTGGTACAACCCAAGGTCATTGTGTAAGGAAGCATATACTTTCAGTACTGAAGATAAGATAAATTTAGGAGATATTTGACTTTAGTTTCTTCAGATAATAAAATAAAAAACAGACCTTTCCAGTGATGCCATCAAATAGTCAAGAGGAGAAATAGCAGGAAACATTAGACCCATTTGTAATCTCTTTGAAAAGTTAATAAAACATTAATCAAATTTCATATCTTACCTCCATCAAAAATGGATGAATGTATTTATTGAGTTATCTTTTTTTCTACAAGTAACCTTTAAAAAATCTATGAAACAAACACCACACTAAAGGTGCCTAAATTGCAACAGTTATTCCAGAACAATATTAGAACATTAGATTAAATCTCGACATATAGGACCATGACAGGTACAATAAAGACCCATGCACAAGTATTTACAAATTATTTAAAATATGTTGACAGAACTTCAGAAAACTTATGACAATACCTATGACTACTTATTTGATCGTAGACAAACACTGGAAATAACGACAGAAAAAATATTGCTCAGACAGCCTTTACACAGAGAAGGAAAGGAAATGAAAAGAATTAGGAATGACCTTTACTAATGGAAGTCTTCACTACAAAATACAAATGCAAACTGAAATATTGGCTTGGGATCTTAGAGTTCATATGTCCAAATCTTCTTTGAGATCTATATCTATATGCATGCAGTGAGTAGATGTGTTAGATAAGTAGAATGGATATTGATATGAACATTTTAAGCCCTTTGTATAAATGTACTTATTTGACTGTCAGATAAAATTAAATTAGACTTGGGGCTGTGCTCTTATATTAGGCAATTCCAATCAGCAAAAAGATGGAAGGACCCCATCCTCCTCACAAGAAAAGACACAAAAAACAGGTGAAATAGTTCCTTGCACAGAGGCATCACTGTTTACTAACGGTCACTTCAGTCGCTCAGCACATGCTAACAATTCCAGGTCATAATCTCCTGCGATGCTCTGACTCCATCACCATCTTTCTCTAAGCCTAACTACCCATCAGTCACTTACAGCACTAAAAATAATCCACTGCTTTCTGTGCCCCCAAGTCTTTCATTACGCCGTCGTTTCACACTTTTAACCAAAACCTGTGGTAAGTATTTCATTGGTAAAAAGATAAGGTAAGTGACTTTGAAAAATGGTATCCTTAGCTTTGAAAGATGAAGAGTTTTATTTTATTCTGCTTATGTATTTGCTACAATGTTAGTAGTAACCTTTACATATCTTTGATATAAATAGTAAGAAATAAGATGTAAATTATCATGTGAATCATAAGAACAGAATATTATTTAGTGTGGTTAAGTGGTTATCTAAAGAGTTACAGTTTCAAGAAGAGTATAATAAATTTAATAATAAATTTTATATTTATAACCTCAAAATCATTTTTGAACTTACTTAGTTAAAGAGCATCTATTATAATCTTGATAAACTATGTCCATTTCTATTTCTTCCCTTTTCCCTCTTTCCCTCTCTCCCTCCCTCTTTCTTTCTCTCCCTTTTTTTGTTCTTTCTCTTTTTCTTTTTGTTCTTTCTGTCTGTTTCTTTCTCTGTCTTCCTCTTTCTTTCTCTGTTTTTCTTTTTTCTTTGTCTTTATCTCTTTCTTCTCCCTCTCTCCCCCCTCCCTCCCTGTCTTTCTCTTTTTTTTTCCTTTCATTCTTCTGTATTTAGGCTGTGAAAACAGAGCCTGAGAAGAAGCCACAATCAGCTAAGGTAAATGGCATAAGTTTGCTAGTGAGTTATTCAGAATCTTTTTTACAATAATGAATAACAAATTATATATGAAGTTAATTAAATATATATATATATTTATTTTATTCATATCTGCATACAATGTTTGGGTAATTTCTCCCCCCTCCCCCCACCCCCTTCCTTACCATCCACCCTACCCCCTCCCTCTCCCCCCCACCCCCTTGATACCTGGCAGAAACTATTTTGCCCTTATCTCTAATTAAATATATATTTATTTATCACTTTCAAAATATACCCTACATAAATGATTATAGGTTATACATAAAATATTTACAGCATTAAATCCATATAATTTTTAAAGAATATGTAAATATTTTATAGACAAACAGTATGTTTCAGAAGGCAATTAATTCAAAAATATATTTTTAAATGAAATAACTACTCAAAAAATAAAACAACAGGAAACAAAATAGAAAAGACAAATGGTAGTATCCAATTATAGTTTCAATGAGACATCAGGAATAATGTGTCTGTGAACATGGCATGGAGATAATTTAAGAATGAGAGTTGGGCCAGTTAATCTTGGCAGTCTTACCTGTGTTGGTTGAGCTGGTTTTTAGTTACTCAGGAGCCTTTCCCTTGGGAGTGGCTTCTCTTCCATTCTGACTCATGGCTGTCCAGACTGAAAGCTCTTCTGCCTCCACATGGAGGTGAGTCCCAGGGTGTCTGCACCAGTGCAAATCTTTCTCATTAATAAAGTGCTGTACTTTATTTTTTCAAACACTTGAGTGGGATAAGACCACAAGATTTTATGCGGGAAGGCACAGAGATGCTTAGGCAAAGTACTTTAAGTATAGTGAGAGTGAGATCATGGAGGGAAAGGTGAGACTTACTTGATTTTTGAAGGCTCCTGTAGATGGCAGTTGCATTGTGAATTCTAGAGTGAAGAATATAGCAGCTAGATAGAAGTTGTCTTCTATTCTACATCTAAATGTTTTTGGTTATCTATCAAATTTCAAGAGAATTAGGTCTCTGGTGATATGATCTTCTCTAATTATAATAAAGAAAAAACTTTGAAAAATCAATTAATTGATATTACAGAATTCTTCGTCTCCTATGAAAGAAAGCTAAAAACTTAATTTCTAGAGTGGAATTGCTGTTCAACAGGTGACTCAGTGTTCACCTTGTTCATTTGATGTTTCTGTAGATAGACTTGCAGTTACTAATTTATCTTGATTGTGAAAAGCAGAAATATATATATTTGAAAACATCTTTTTAGGTGAAATATTCAATTTTCACTGTTTTTCTGATAATCACTACTACTGGAGGTGTGGTAGGGTTACTGTTGACCAGACATCACATGTCTATGTTGATTCCAAAGAACTTGGCTAAAGTGAGCTTTTCCTGAGACAGAATGATTTAATTGAAATTTTATTCTTGAGCTTATTTGGACATGTGAAAACAATGGATTCTAATATAATTGAGTTTTTAATTATTTGAAATTAACAGCCCCCAGTGGTTCATGAGAAAAAATCCCAAGAAGGAAAGCCAAAGGAGCACACAGAGGTAAGTGATTACCACTAGGAGTTGATATTATAAAGTTATGTGTTTTGGTGAAGTATACTTTTAAAATCTCTCCTCATTTGACATTTGTTCCAACCATGGATGGCTGAATGTTTTTTTTTCAGTTAAAATGGTGCCACCATGTGGCAATAGTAGTGTTTACAGTTACTTAAGTGATTCTTGCTGATTTAGAGCAAAGGATTAGCCCTATTTCAAATTTTGTACCTGAAGTGAAATTTTACCATATTTGCATCATACTAATTCAGACTCACATAATTCAAACCTTGAAATAGCACAACTGTTATGAATGGCTTTTATTCTATGAAGAAAAGTGTCAAAATGTTGTTTAAAACCACCATTGTGCTAACAATGTTTTTGTTTGTGTGTGTGCATGTACATGTGTGCTTTCAGTCAAAGAGGCTCCCCAGGCATGCACCAGATACAAGAAGCAAACATGCTCAAAATGAAAAAGCAGTTTCCAGATCAAATGAGCAGCTGACATCAGAGAAAACAACAGAGCCAAAGGTAAACAAAGCAGGTTGATAGACATGAAAGCACTAACATCAACTAGCTAATAAGCCATGGTTCCCCAGATCACATCGGGGTGTGTAGTTGAGTTGATAGGACTATGCTGAACATATTTGTATTGTAATGATTTGGTGCTATTATTTCATTGGTTTTACAAAAGCATTGTAGGGACTTGGGCTCATGGGAGATCTGAGAAAGCAAAGGCATCAGAAAAGTTTAGGGAAATGTTCTGTTCAGCCATCTCCTACCATCCAGAAGTGACCAGCATGACTACAAGGCAACAGGTTCGGGTATCTCCCAATTGGAAAATTTTTAATTGAAGCCCTCTTCTCCTCCCTGCCTTCCCATTCTCTTCTCTTCTTTCCCCTCTCCTTCCTTCCCCTTCCCTCCCCTCTCCTTCCCTCTCATGGAGTCTTACAGATATGCAGTACCATGCTCAACATTATCAGCTTTTTTAAATGAAAGGCTTGAAGCATTTTTACAGTCTTGTTGTAGAGGGGTTGAACTTATACAGCCCAATATCAGAAAATGACGCATATAAAATAAATCTCTAAGAAGAACTTTTTGATTGAGTGTACTTGGACGGTGACAACTAGGCCTGCTTCACAATATAGTATGTATCAGTGATCACAAATTTGTGACTCCCCAGTTAAATGCAACCACATGGATATTTATTTGTTTTATAGTGTTGTTTAAAATTATTTTTAATTAGTTGCCAGCAAACAAAGTCAGGACATTTCATATAAAATACTAATTTCTAACTTCTCTTAAAAAATCAGACTATCTGGCAAAAATGGGCTCATAGGGCAACAGTTGACTAGAGCCATAACACCTGGTCCAATGGGCTCCAGTTTACCACAGTGCACTGAAGCACGTAAACCAGGTGTGATGCTGTCTGCCTATTTGTGTGACTGAACGACTCTGTAGGCTATTAAGTCCAGGTTTATACCATACCCAGCATTGCAGCATGTGCAGTAAAAGCTGATAAACCTTCCTGTGCCATGATGTCCATGTGGACAAACTGGCAGATGGAAGCTACGTTTGAAACCCATGATCTTGGTAGTGGTCAAAGATACTTAGTTCTGTCAATCTTTTATCCCACTCTCAGACTAAATCACAAGACACTACTTCTGCCAGTGGAGAAAGTGTCATTGCTGGTGTAGCTGCAATATCTGACAAACCAGATGGCAAGGTGAGCACATGTAGAAGAAGGAGCCTTCATTCTTATCAGGTTTCTATTATAAGAAATATATGCTCAAATAACTTATCACTTGGTAAAACTGAATGCTTTTACTTGTGAAATTTTGTGGAGAACCTATATTGAAAGGATATAAAGATTGCTAAAAATGATGTTTAAATTCACATATTCAATGAATATGTAAGCATCTGCCATCTATAGGGCCTGGTATCAACACAAAGGAAATTAAAATGTGAGTTGACTCAGACCTGCCTTCCAGATTTATAGGTATGAAATAAAGTACACCAAACCACAGGATAAGAAAAAGCAAGACAGTAGAGAGTAACATCAAGTTAGGTACACACAATCAAACCTTCAAACAACTAAGATAACTAAATGGCAGGAATCACCACATACCTATCAGTACTAACACTTAATGTTAATGGACTTAATTCACCCATCAAAAGACACCGTTTGACAAAATGGATTAAAAAAGAAGATCCAACAATTTGTTGCTTACAGGAGACTCATCTCACCGACAGAAATAAGCATATGCTTAGGATGAAAGGCTGGAAGAAGATTTACCAAGCCAATGGCCCCCGAAAACAAGCAGGAGTAGCAATACTTATCTCTGACAAAGTAGACTTCAAACCTACATTGATCAAATGAGATAAAGAAGGACATTCCATACTAATAAAAGGGGAAATAGACCAAAAGGAAATAATAATCATCAATCTGTATGCACCCAATGTCAATGCACCCAATTTCATCAAACATACCCTGAAAGACCTAAAAGCATATATAAACGCCAACACAGTGGTTGTGGGAGACTTTAACACTCCATTATCATCAATAGATAGGTCATCCAAACAAAAACTCAATAAAGAAATCCAAGATCTAAAATATGCAATAGATCAAGTGGACCTAGTAGATGTCTACAGAACATTTCATCCAACCTCTACACAATATACATTCTTCTCAGCAGCCCATGGAACCTTCTCCAAAATAGATCATATCCTAGGGCACAAAGCAAGCCTCAGCAAATATAAGAAAATAGAAATAATACCATGCATACTATCTGACCACAATGCAGTAAAAGTAGAACTCAACAACAAAAGTAAAGACAAAAAACATGCAAACAGCTGGAAACTAAATAACTCATTACTTAATGAAGAATGGATCATCGATGCAATAAAAGAGGAAATTAAAAAGTTCCTGGAAGTCAATGAAAATGAAAACACAACCTACCGGAACCTATGGGACACAGCTAAGGCAGTCTGAGAGGAAAGTTTATAGCCATGAGTGCATATATTAAAAAGATTGAAAGATCCCAAATCAATGACCTAATGATACATCTCAAACTCCTAGAAAAACAAGAACAAGCAAATCCCAAAACAAATAGAAGGAGAGAAATAATAAAAATAAGAGCTGAAATCAACGAAATAGAAACCAAAAAAACCATACAAAGAATTAATGAAACAAAAAGTTGGTTCTTTGAAAAAATAAACAAGATCGATAGACCCCTGGCAAACCTGACTAAAATGAGGAGAGAAAAAACCCAAATTAGTAGAATCAGGAATGCAAAAGGGGAGATAACAACAAACACCATGGAAGTCCAGGAAATCATCAGAGACTACTTTGAGAACCTATATTCAAATAAATTTGAAAATCTAAAAGAAATGGACAGATTTCTAGATACATATGATCATCCAAAACTGAACCAAGAGGAAATTAATCACCTGAATAGACCTATAACACAAAATGAAATTGAAGCAGCAATCAAGAGTCTCCCCAAAAAGAAAAGTCCAGGACCTGATGGATTCTCTGCTGAATTCTATCAGACCTTTAAAGAAGAACTGATACCAACCCTCCTTAAACTGTTCCATGAAATAGAAAGGGAAGGAAAACTGCCAAACACATTTTATGAAGCCAGTATTACACTTATCCCAAAACCAGGCAAAGACACCTCCAAAAAGGAGAACTATAGGCCAATCTCCTTAATGAACATTGATGCAAAAATCCTCAACAAAATAATGGCAAACCGAATTCAGCAACACATCAAAAAGATTATTCACCACGACCAGTAGGCTTCATCCCAGGGATGCAGGGGTGGTTCAACATACGAAAATCAATAAACGTAATAAACCACATTAACAGAAGCAAAGACAAAAACCACTTGATCATCTCAATAGATGCAGAAAAAGCCTTTGATAAGATCCAACATCATTTCATGATAAAAGCTCTAAGAAAACTAGGAATAGAAGGAAAGTTCCTCAACATTATAAAAGCTATATATGACAAACCTACAGCCAGCATTATACTTAACGGAGAAAAATTAAAACCATTCCCTCTAAAATCAGGAACCAGACAAGGATGCCCACTATCTCCACTCCTATTCAACATAGTACTGGAATTCCTAGCCAGAGCAATTAGGCAAGAAGAAGGAATAAAAGGAATACAAATAGGTAAAGAAACTGTCAAAATATCCCTATTTGCAGACGACATGATCCTATACCTTAAAGACCCAAAAAACTCTACTCAGAAGCTTCTAGACATCATCAATAGCTATAGCAAGGTAGCAGGATATAAAATCAACATAGAAAAATCATTAGCATTTCTATACACTAACAATGAGCAAACGGAAAAAGAATGTATGAAAACAATTCCATTTACAATAGCCTCAAAAAAAATCAAATACCTAGGTGTAAACCTAACAAAAGATGTGAAAGACCTCTACAAGGAAAACTATACACTTCTGAAGAAAGAGATTGAGGAAGACTATAGAAAGTGGAGAGATCTCCCATGCTCATGGATTGGTAGAATCAACATAGTAAAAATGTCGATACTCCCAAAAGTAATCTACATGTTTAATGCAATTCCCATCAAAATTCCAATGACATTCATTAAAGAGATTGAAAAATCTACTGTTAAATTTATATGGAAACACAAGAGGCCACGAATAGCCAAGGCAATACTCAGTCAAAAGAACAATGCAGGAGGTATCACAATACCTGACTTCAAACTATATTACAAAGCAATAACAATAAAAACAGCATGGTACTGGCACAAAAACAGACATGAAGACCAGTGGAACAGAATAGAGGACCAGATATGAAGCCACACAACTATAACCAACTTATCTTTGACAAAGGAGCTAAAAATATACGATGGAGAAATAGCAGCCTCTTCAACAAAAACTGCTGGGAAAACTGGTTAGCAGTCTGCAAAAAACTGAAACTAGATCCATGTATATCACCCTATACCAAGATTAACTCAAAATGGATCAAGGATCTTAATATCAGACCCCAAACTCTTAAGTTGATACAGAAAGAGTAGGAAATACTCTGGAGTTAGTAGGTATAGGTAAGAACTTTCTCAATGAAACCCCAGCAGCACAGCAACTAAGAGATAGCATAGATAAATGGGACCTCATAAAACTAAAAAGCTTCTGTTCATCAAAAGAAATGGTCTCTAAACTGAAGAGAACACCCACAGAGTGGGAGAAAATATTTGCCAACTATACATCAGACAAAGGACTGATAACCAGAATATACAGGGAACTTAAAAAACTAAATTCTCCCAAAACTAATGAACCAATAAAGAAATGGGCAGTGAACTAAACAGAACTTTCTCAAAAGAAGAAATTCAAATGGCCAAAAACACATGAAAAAATGCTCACCATCTCTAGCAATAAAGGAAATGCAAATTAAAACCACACTAAGATTCCACCTCACCCCTGTTAGAATAGCCATCATCAGCAACACCACCAACAACAGGTGTTGGCGAGGATGCGGGGAAAAAGGAACCCTCTTACACTGTTGGTGGGAATGTAGACTAGTACAACCACTCTGGAAAAAAATTTGGAGGCTACTTAAAAAGCTGGACATCGATCTACCATTTGATCCAGCAATACCACTCTTGGGGATATACCCAAAAGACTGTTACTCCAGAGGCACCTGCACATCCATGTTTATTGCGGCACTATTCACAATAGCCAAGTTATGGAAACAGCCAAGATGCCCCACACTGACGAATGGATTAAGAAAATGTGGTATCTATACACAATGGAATTTTATGCAGCCATGAAGAAGAACGAAATGTTATCATTCGCTGGTAAATGGATGGAATTGGAGAACATCATTCTGAGTGAGGTTAGCCTGGCCAAAAGACCAAAAATCGTATGTTCTCCCTCATATGTGGACATTAGATCAAGGGCAAACACAACAAGGGGATTGGACTATGAGCACATGATAAAAGCGAGAGCACACAAGGGAGGGGTGAGGATAGGTAAGACACCTAAAAAACTAGCTAGCATTTGTTGCCCTTAATGCAGAGAAACTAAAGCAGATACCTTAAAGCAACTGAGGCCAATAGGAAAAGGGGACCAGGAACTAGAGAAAAGGTTAGATTAAAAAGAATTAACCTAGAAGGTAACACCCACGCACAGGAAATCAATGTGAGTCAATGCCCTGTATAGCTATCCTTATCTCAACCAGCAAAACCCTTGTTCCTTCCTATTATTGCTTATACTCTCTCTACAACAAAATTAGAGATAAGGGCAAAATAGTTTCTGCTGGGTATTGAGGGAGGAGGAGGGGGTGGGGGCAGGGGGAGAAATAACCAAGCCTTGTATGCACATATGAATAATGAATAAAAAAAAAAATGAAAAAAAAAAAAATCAGACTATCTGGCAAAAATGGGCTCATAGGGCAACAGTTGACTAGAGCCATAACACCTGGTCCAATGGGCTCCAGTTTACCACAGTGCACTGAAGCACGTAAACCAGGTGTGATGCTGTCTGCTATTTGTGTGACTGAACGACTCTGTAGGCTATTAGTCCAGGTTTATACCATACCCAGCATTGCAGCATGTGCAGTAAAAGCTAATAAACCTTCCTGTGCCATGATGTCCATGTGGACAAACTGGCAGATGGAAGCTACGTTTGAAACCCATGATCTTGGTAGTGGTCAAAGATACTTAGTTCTGTCAATCTTTTATCCCACTCTCAGACTAAATCACAAGACACTACTTCTGCCAGTGGAGAAAGTGTCATTGCTGGTGTAGCTGCAATATCTGACAAACCAGATGGCAAGGTGAGCACATGTAGAAGAAGGAGCCTTCATTCTTATCAGGTTTCTATTATAAGAAATATATGCTCAAATAACTTATCACTTGGTAAAACTGAATGCTTTTACTTGTGAAATTTTGTGGAGAACCTATATTGAAAGGATATAAAGATTGCTAAAAATGATGTTTAAATTCACATATTCAATGAATATGTAAGCATCTGCCATCTATAGGGCCTGGTATCAACACAAAGGAAATTAAAATGTGAGTTGACTCAGACCTGCCTTCCAGATTTATAGGTATGAAATAAAGTACATGAAATTTCTATGAGCATTTAAGCAAGCATTACTCTTGGCTTTGAATGTTCCCACCAGCTATCTTGATGCTAGTAAATCACACACATTCACATCAGCCTGAGTTGATGTGGGAGGTTTCTAAAGGAGACCTCGTCAGTCCCCTCAAGAGCAAGTATATGTGTTGTGCTGCCTAGTCCCCAGCAAGTCTTCCTTGGAGCCTTGGAAGAGCCTCAGATGTGAGAAGAGAAGTGGTCTCCCTTTTCTACCCATAGCAGCACAGAGTTAGCTGACCATTTGGAGGACATGTAGTCAGTTTGAAGCCATAAGTAAGAAATTGAAGCAGCAATGAGAAGAGGTAGGTGAAAACAGAAACAAGTTGTTTGGATATTTTACATTCCTACTTTTGAAAATGGAAAAGATGTCAGCTAGACAGTAAGGAAATTCATTGGAGAAAAGTATGGCACATCACCCTGAAATGTATCCTTTCTCAGATTTTAGGAGACAGGGCCCATTATTTTTATTCAAACTCATGCAGTTCTTCTGTGGAATAAAGGCAAAATTTGCAAACACTTCTGAATAAAAATTCTCAGCTTAAATACTTTTCCTTTGTGATAGATCACTGTTACACGTCCTTCAGACCCTCACACTCACCCCAGAGATACATGTTACTGTCCTGGGCTAATGAGGGGTAGCTAAATGAAATGATGTAAAAATCAATAGATATAGGGCAGAGGACTCGATATGTTAAGGTAAACTTTAAAATGCAATTGGCCAGGCAATTACCAGTAATCCTGTAATCCTCGATACTTAGGAGGCAGAGATTGGGAAGGTTGCAATTTGAAGCCAGCCATGGCAAAGTTCAAGAAACCCCATCTCAGCCACCTGTCATCCCAGCTATGCAGCGAGGCACAAACAGAAGGGTCATGGTGCCTGGTCATAAAGCTAGGTCCTAGCTCAAAAATAGCCAGCACAACGAGGGTTGGCAGTGACTCGAGTAGAAGAGTGCCTTCCAAGCAAGTATAAGGCCCTGAGTTCGACTCCCAGTACCACTGCCTCCCCCCAAAAAAGGCAGTCAACATTTGAAGTTTTATGCTAGCTATAAATTAGCCAGACTGATCAGTGAAAACTGCATGATCGGAGAGGTTTCTGTGGAATTCTGTTGTGCATTGGCTTTTGCTGGAACTTTTCACAGTAAATAGGATTGATCAGATTTCCTCCTGCCTTCTTATTTTAGAATGTTGTGAGTTTAAAGCACTATGGTCAACTCTGCAGGACACACTACAGGCTGGCCCATCTAGATAGAGCTGGTCTCTACAGGGAGGTGTTTGGTGAAAAACATTTGACTCAGGGACTCTGGCAAGGGCTTTGAGAGAGTAGTTCTCATTTGAGTTAGGCACGGAAGGAGATCTAGGATTGCAAGCTTGGAAACACTTCAAGGTGTTCGAAAGTTTCAGATGTGTTCTGATCACAGAGTGCATTCCTGTGGGCTTTTAGACCAGACAGACAGGTTAAGGCTGCTGTGGAGAGTGCTAAGGTGAGGTTGTAGGTAGAGGTAGGAAGGAGGCAGGTTGGGCTGGGCCGTCTCAGTCATCCTGGTAAGTCATAATGAAGCCACAATTAGAGCTGTGATAGAATAAGACAGTGGGAAGTTACGTGAGGGCATTATAGAGGTCAAATCTTCAGGTTTTCAGAAAGGATTGACCAAAGTGAGCAAAGGGAAGAAAAAATTGAAGACAGCCTGGGGCTCTGGAATCTGGTTGAAGTAGGTTGGTAACTCTAAGGTAAGGCAAGAGAAGTGCCCAGGACACAAAATTTAAAGACACTGTCAGACTTGTACAAGTGCAAAGTTCAGCACCTGAGAATGAGTACCTCGTTAACCGGGAGTGGGCACCTTGCAGTCCTATCCCTGACCTTCCAGTTACCTTTGAAAGGTGGATTGAAGTCAGAAGAGGAATTGTTTGAAGGAGGAAAACTGATGTCTCTGATTTTGGACAGGTTTCTTTGGACCTGTTTGATGGATCCAAAGAAAGATATGTAGCAAGGCAATTAAAATATTATTTTGGGGGGCACAAAACAGTAGAAGAGATGGGAGGAAAGAAGAGGAGGAAGAGAGAGGGAGAGAGAGAGAGAGAGAAGAATAAGTAGGATTGTGGGAGAGTAGGAGTGACACATGCATATGTGTTAGGTATTAGTTGAATCGAATCCTGGAAGTGGTGTCAGTTGCCCACACTCAGCTACATGTCCTGGTGTGGTATCAGTTTCACAACCACACCAATCATCTATTTAGCCCTTAATTATATAACAAGTACCTGCACAATCCTTATCAAGTGCCAAACACTGGTTTTCATACTTATGTACATTGATTTCTCTAAGCCTCATAACCCCCATAGGTTACCCCACTTCACACACTATGAAACCAAGGTGCGCAAGGAGAAGTGCCCTGCCAAGTCTCAAGCAGTCATGCATGTCACCACTCGTGTGCAAACTCAGGCTTTCAGGGTGTGTGCTGCTGACCAGATTTGAAAACATTCAAATGAGACATGATCACCTATTATCTTACACTCAAAAACATTTCCCATTCCGTTCCTACCTGACAGTGGCCCCTGGCCCTGGAGAATGATTTTGGATAGGACTGTCAGCACAGAGCAGGACCTTGCAGAACAAATGCAGAAGAGATGCCAGAAGTGACAGAGAGTAAAGGCACAAACATCAGAGTAAAATCAAGATGGTGCTGGGCTGAGGCCCCTGCAAGAAACAGGCTGCTCCCCAAGGGTCAAACTTCAGAGACTGTGTCTGAATAAAGGCATGGAGTTTGCAGACTGAAAGTTACTAGCAATCTTTTTTAAAATGGTATTGGGGTTTGAACTCAGGGCTTCACACCTGCTAGGTAGACACTCTACCACATGAGCCCCACCCCAGCCCCCATTTTTTAAATTTAATTACTTTTCAGGTAGAGTCTCATATTTTTTATGCCCAGATCCTCCTACCTACAGCCTCCCATGTAGTTGAGACTGTAAGTATGTGCCATCACACCCAATTGATTTGTTGAGATGGGGTCTCACTAGCATTTTGCCTGGACTGACCTCAAATCTCCCAATCTCCACCTCCTGAGGAGCTGGGATTATAGGCCTGAGTCATCATGCCCAAATACTGGCAATCTTTGATAGAGGAATGACTGCAATGGCGAGAGGAAGAGAAACTCTTTTTAGGGGAATTAGGAAAGTGAGTAATGAGAAACCAAAGCAAGGGATATGGCAGTCTTGATATATAAGGGCAGAGACCCAGGCAGCAGCAGCTGGAAGTTGCAGCCTACAGAGAGAATTCATTTGTGTGCGAGCAGTGGTAGTGGGCTGCGGAGAAGCATGGTGAACACAAGGCAGAAAGCTCCAGATTCAAATCTTGTTCTGTACTGTGCAGCCTGAGACAAGTTACTTAATTTCCCCAAGATTTGTTTTCCCCAGTGCTAATGGAATTAATATTACTTAGCAATTTTGACAAAGGATGCGACACATACAACATATGCAGAGCAGATGTTCAGTAATGATCAATGCTACTAAAATTACAGTGAATTTATCTTAAAATGCACGATGGTGTTGAGTTTCATAAAGGTATGTGAAAGGAGTTTTTATGTCTTTCTAAACTCCCCACCAGAAAAAAGAAAAGAAATCGTTAACTCCAGCTGTGCCCGTTGCAGCCAAACCGGACAAACCATCTGGAAGGTATGAAAGTCTCAGTGCTCTCCTGCATAAGATAGTGTTCTCTGCTCTGTATTTCTGTCTGTCTGACATCTTTTGGCAAACAATATGAGATTCATTAAAACATCATTTTAATGAATCATTATTTTAAGAAGATATGACTGGGTTGAAACTGTGACATTCACATGTATAAAATGTTTGTAACATTTTATAACTGTCTGTTTTGAAAACTCCATCTTCATCTCATGGAGTTTACATTCGAATTTCTCTCCTGCAGTTATACTTTCTTAAACCAGATGTGTTACTAAAGAGTATAAGGTACTTCTGCATTCTGAAATTCCTTGACACTTATCTGTGATTGAGTCCTAAAGTAGTGGGAATGTGGTAGTTGTGTAAAAAAAGGGCAAACATTGTAAGCAATCCTTTATAATCTGAGTTAAATAGTGAAGGGTCTTTCCCTAGATTGTGGATTCCCCTTCAATTACAGATTTTGTTCACAATTAGTCATTCTTAATTAACCTCAAAGATAAGGTGGCAGCACTCTCCCGTTCATTATGCTGACTTAAGCTCACATGGACAGAATAAATTGTCAATTCCTATAACTTAAACATCAATCCCAGGTAATTTCTGTTTTATAGACATAATTGGGCAAGCAAGTGAACAACAACAGCAACAAAAAAAACCCCTAACAAATGAATGAAAGTGTTCAAGGAAATACGTTTTAGAAATAGATTCTTTTTGCAACAGGTGTTGTCTAGAAATTGTGATGGGGTTCTTTGCACAGAACTCTGGAAAACTATGAAAAGCAATGTGTATCAATTACTACATTGCTGTAGCAACAAGGTAATAATTCTTTGTATTTCTTTTTCTTTTCCTCTTTAACTGGCAGGACATCCAATTGGCAACTTTAATGAACTCACATACTCATTCACGTAATTGATGACTCTGGACTTGTTGAAATTGAGATTCTTACCCAAATATGGCTTTTTATCTTCCCCACCAGATTGTGTATTCTGAAGCTTCAATAATAAAGTTAGACACAATTACCTATTTACAAATTTGGAAAATGTATAATGTTTGGTTTTCCTGGTATTTACAAAATTAAAAGTGAAATATGTTTAACAAATAACATTTATACCTGCTCTTTCATTTCCAGTCAGGCATGGATTCTGCTTTGGATGACTTGATAGACACTTTAGGAGGACCTGAAGAAACTAATGAAGAGAATACAACGTATACGGGACCAGTGGTTTCGGTATGTGACCTGCCCTCTGTCGAAATTTATGGTCAATGAGTAGTGAAGCCATAAGACCATGAAGTACAAGAAGTTCTGTTGCTTGATAGAAGCAGGATGGTATCAGTATCTAAAACAGCAAGTAAAAGCTGGTGTTAGGATGAAATGGGTTTGTTCTATGATAGCTGTACAGTTATGTTGGATCAGCAAATATTTGATTGTCTGTGCTAAGACTGACACTGGGATACTGCCTATTTGTTTTCTAGGTATTACATTAGAAATAACTATAAATCTGATAAACTTGTGTATTGGGTCGTATGGAAATCTGCTATGTCACTAACTTATTTTTGTATATGTTAGAAACGTTAGATATTGAAGACGGAATGTATTTTTAATAGAAAATACATTTTAGCATAATATTTTGAATATTTTCTAGCATTACATGTGAGTTCAGTCAATTAAATATGGGTGTTTGTGTAAACTTAGAACTTCATAGTTTTATAAAGTTTTAGCTTCTTGATGATTTATATTGCATGTCAGTGGTTCCATAAATTAATAAAGGAATATTACTTTGTTTTCACATTACATTTCAGCTGATTAGTTACATAATATCCTTGTCTGTGATTTTCTTCCAGGATCCAATGAGTTCTACCTACATTGAGGAATTGGGCAAAAGAGAAGTCACAATTCCTCCAAAATATAGAGAACTATTGGCTGTAAGTAACTGTTCACTTTTATTTCATTGTTTCCTTCTTGGAACATAATTTTATATCAATACCTTCATAATTTTTAAAATTCAGGAAATATAATGCACATATGAAATTGTCATTTCTAAGAAATTCACTGTTTATATTTGCTAGGGCTGCCCTAACAAAGTACCCCAGGCTGGTGGTAACAATTTTTGGTACCATTGTTCTGTAACTGCTGGTTACAGAAATTTACTATAGTCTCATGGTTCTGGAGACTGGAGGTCTACAATTGAGGTGTCACCAGGGTTGGTTCCTTCTGAGGGCTATGAAGGAGGGCTCTCTTCTAGGCCTTTGTGCTTGGCTTATAAGGTGACTGTCTTCCTCTTGTGTCTGTTCACATCATCTCCCCTCTATGCATTTCTCTGGGTCCAAATTTGCCCTTTCCAGAAGGACACTAAGTTACATTGGATTCAGACCAATCCTAATGAGCTCAGTTTTACTTGATTATTTCCCAAAAGACCCTATGTCCAGCTAAGGTCTCATTATGAAGTACTAAAGGTTAGGAATTCAGCAAATGAATTTAGAGGAGGACACATTTCAATTCATTATACACTGAGAATACTTTTTGCTAATCAGGAAATTAATTTTGCCTTCTCAACCTCATCAAATTAATATTTGTTTCAGAAAAAGGAAGGAACCACAGGGCCTCCTCCAGACTCTTCGGTGAGTTTGCATAAATGTTTTCTAAGATGTAAATCAACTTCTGGTTGGGGGAATATGACTAACAATTCTTTTTTGGGGAATCATAAGTCTTCATAGTTTTATCTATTCAAAGAAAAATGATGGGTATGAGGTTGTCTCATTGCTTCTTGGTCTCATGTGTATTTTTTGAGGGGAAAGACAATGGAACCAAGAACATATAAGGATGAAATAAATGTTAATAACAATAATGTGAGCACATCTTACCACATGACTAACTCCTTTAGAAAACAGGAGAAATATAATTCTTACTGAGAACTTACCCCCTTTCAAACACAGGCTTTCATCTGAATTATTTCATTAATGTATCTCATTTGGTAGCAAAGGAATGCAAAAATCTGTTCTTCCTCTACGGAGTTTGTAATCCTTTCTTTCACTCGTATGGCTCCCTTGTGTTATCATCTTTGTGCTTGTTTCTTTAGAAATCCATGGGGCCAGACGATGCCATCGATGCCTTGTCATCTGACTTTACCTGTAGTTCTCCTACCACTGGTGGAGAAAATCTGAGAAAGAGGTATTGCTTTTAATGCTATTAAGGATAACTTGTTAGAAACTATCTTGACCCTGAGAAGAACAGCAACTTTATAAATCTAGTTATTACAATTAAATTTCGATCATCTGTAAATATTACCTTTATATTTTATTTTTCAGAAATCTTCAGAAGTCTTAAAAGCTGAGTCAGCTAGGGTAATCAGAAGTACTGCTCCACCCCAGGAGAAAAAGAAAGGTGGAAGAGGTACCAATAATGACTCCTTTGAAAATAATCAGGAAGGCAGTCGCTTTCCTGAAGCCATTGAAGGCTATATTGATCATCTCCAGGCAAGCATCCTTATGAATTATGTGCTTTTAGCACAGTCTTCTAAGAGCATCTCACCATCACACACAGAGGGCAGAAACCAGAGGAATTGCACTCTTGGAATATAAAAATCTTAAGTTGATATCCTAAAGGAGTTTGAGCCTTGTGGATCAGTAGAGGGATGTCATTGTAGTTGTTTCTGTTTACCTCTCTTAACCACAATCATTTATGATCTAATTCTCGTAAATTCTGAAAGGCGATCCTGCAGTGCTGGGCTGGGTGAGAGAACATGTGCCATGAGCAAATAGTCTAGATAATGCTGAGGATAGTTTCTATCAGAGCAGCTTCTGCCTCTCCCCTGCTGGAATGGACAGTTTATTTTTATCTGCCAGCCTGAGAGAACAGTGGTGAGCACCACACCCTAAGAGTAGGAGTTCCACAACCATGAGCCTTTGTGCCTTCAGAAAAGGCAGCGAGGCTGCTTCAAGTTTCTGGGCTTCCTGAATTTACTGTTTTGCTGAAGGATAGGGCTGTTAGCCTCCATTTTTGGAGACATAGTTTTAGAAAAAGAAAGTCAGGGTGGTAAAAATTTACTTTCTTGTGGCTGTTATTTTCATAAGAGTATTTTATAATAATTATTGTAGTTACACTTTTCACTTGCAAAATAAGGGGGTGAACTGTGCCCCAGACAGTGCTGTTACTATAGGAACGTGTCTTAGCTCAAATTTTCATTGACTGGTAAGTCCTTTTTCCTTTTTCTCCTTTACTTAGTTTTCAAATAGAGTTGCCTACCTAAAGTACTCCCTTAATCGACAATTCATCTTATATATTTAAAACATGTATTTTACAAAGAAGCAAATGGATTCTCTGAGCTCTGAAGTTGCTCTGCTTTTTCGTGCACAGAATTTTTCTTTTTTAACAGGATGCCATGAGTGATCAAGCACTTGAGGCTTTGTCAGCTTCACTGGGTACCCGGAAATCAGACCCTGAGATCGACCTCAGCTCCATTAAGGAAGCCGATGAGGTACTGACCTTGGAGTTCATATACAAAGCGTGTTAGTCTGCAGCTTGACAAGCAGAATGCCTGCCACATTTAGAATTCTTGCCTAGCTTTTACTTTATTGGAGATTGAACTATTCGTCATTGTTCCTTATTTTCAGAGTCTGGTTAATGTAGTTATTTGTTGCTGGGCAGTTAGCAACCAAGAGGGATATTTGAGTGTTCTTGTAAAAAACCTATAATTTTAATATTCAAAATTAACACTAATCTCCTTTGCCAAAGCTTATATGGCACTTGACTAAACAAGATAACAGGTGACAGTGGGCTGGTGAGAAAGAGTAAGCTTTGTTTGCTCTTGTGGAGGGCCACGGAAGATGGAAGGATCTTTCTTAAACTATGGGGAAAGAGGTTGAAAAATTTGTATCAAACTTGAATGAAAGGGAACAACAATTACTGGGTATCTGGAGCTCATGAACATTTAGAGCATGGTGCTGATGAGTATTCAGCTCATCAACCTCCATTACTTAATAAGCCTTCTGAGCCAAAGAAAGCTTTTACCTGGTATAGAAGAACTTTTTAAATTAATGTTACTAGAATAAGTCAGGGAATCATATCTATTCCTATGCTATTTTCACATTTCAACACTGAGAATATGTGGTTATATAAATAAATGGGAATGTAGTTTTTCAGTAACAATCCCACTTTAATCTTTATTATATTAAAATCAGAGCTCTATCATCAAATAATTGTTTTATGATTGGATAACAAACAACTTGGTTTTATCTTTCTTCTCCCTCCTTTTCTTCTTCTTTGTTATTAATTTTATAGAATTGTGGGTTTCATTATGTTAAATCATAATTTTTTTTATTATTCATTTATTCACATGTACATACATTGTTTGGGTCATTTCTTCCCCCTGCCCCCCTCTCCCACCCTCTACCCCCTTCCTCCTCCAGTTCCAGGCAGGTCCTGTTCTGCCTTTATCATTAATCTTGTTGAAGAAAAGACACAAGCATAGTAAGGAAGACAAAGTGTTTTTGCTAGTTGAGGATAGCTATACAGAAATATTCCTAGCATTGCTTTCGTGTACACAGGTTTATGACCCATGTTAATTCCTCTCTAACTGATCTTTACCCTGGTTACTGATCCCCTTCTCATGATAACCTCTGTCACTTTAAGGTTTTTGTATTAGCTCCTCTCTGGTGGGTACATCAAACGCTTTCATGTTTTGAGTTTGCTACCTATTCCTGTATCTCCCGTATGTCCTCCTCTCCCCTTGTCATGTGGTATCATAATTTTTATAGACGTTTTCAATTTGGTTATCTGGGGAAGAGAAAGAAGAGAGTGACTTGGTCTCCGCAAGACAACCATGCCTGGAATCCTAAGGGCGGGGAGGGTACCCTATCAGCTCAGGGAAGGGAGTTGGCAAGGTTCCTGTCACAATGCCCCTGTCTCTGTTGTCACTTCCTGTTCTGAGTTGTCAACAAAAAGGAATCTCCTTGACTTCCGGGAACTCTTAGTCTGAGTTGGCCCAGGTCCAAGATGGGCCAATTTTTATCTTCAACTTTCTTGGAGGGCTCACCAACCACAATTTTGCATGACAAGTTTTTTGATGATGAACACAAAGGATCAGGAGAAAGACTCCCTGTCGCCCATGACCAAGTAATGTACTGGGAAGGAAGGGAACTTTGATTACAGTGCTATCTGAGACGTACATTTCTTGGAGCAGCCAGTCAGGAGCCATGCTATGGCAAGGAGAGGTTGTTCTTAGCCAAAGCCTGGGGGCCATCAGGAGACCACGTTGAGTTTCTACCTGAGGACTGCTTGGCCAGGAGTGAATTTCACTTTTTGCCTCAGGTTTTTTACAGATAACTAGAGTGAAGACAATAAATGTGGGAAGAGAAGTTATAAATAGGATACAAACCTAGAACAAAAAGAGTATTAGAGTGAGTACAATCAGCTAAGTAGAGGCAAAAAAAAAAATGACGTAGAAATAACTTGAAAGCAGTGTGAGTAACTAGCATGGGGACTTATGTGAATGTATTCAATTTCCTCTAGAAAACCTTTGAGCAACAGTAAACTAAAATTCTGGCCAAAGAACGTTTTTCCCCTACTTTTGTAACTACTTACTAGTAGATTATAAATTATACTCATACTATTTACCAGTACATTAGATTACAAATGTTATATACTGGGAACTAATGGCCTACAATACAACTACACCTTATTTCTAACACAATTAGTTGTTCATAGTTCAGTGAAGTCCTGGTGTTATCGAAGGGAGTCCTTTTTCAAAAAGTTAAAACCAGTTATCCTTGGATAAGCCAGCATTTGTGATCAGATGCTTCTCCCATTTCTGAACTGGGTAAGAAAATTGGTTGTGTTCCCTCTTCTGTCCTCAGATAACTGGCTCATTGGCTGAGACAGATGAAAGCTATTAAAATAATTGCAACTAACTTCTGAATTGTGCTTTTCATCCTTTCAGGACCTTTTATTTACTTTTCTTTGGTGAGCCTTACAAGTCAGTGAGCTAAGTAAGGATTATTATGGGCTTACATTTTACAGCTGAAGAAAGCAAAACAAAGAAAGGCTGGGTGGCTTCCTAAGCTCAGAGGAACCTGAGAGCAGAGCAAGGCACCCCAAGACGCTAGCTGTGATTTCCCTCACCATGGTCTCATGCTTCATAGTTTATAGAGCTCTTCCTGTGACTTTTATCTGACTCGATGTTCTCATGAAGTATGTACAGAAAGTGGTATCATTTCATTTTATATGCATTATCCAGCTGCTTCTCTCTCTCTCTCTGTTTTCATCAGCCAAAAGCTAAAGAAGAAAATCTAGAGAAGTGTGGTGAGGATGAAGAAACAATTCCATCGGAGTACAGACTAAAACCAGTCACGGTACATTTTTTTTGCTGCAGAGCTACAGCAGTACCCTCATCTTGCCGTCACATCATTTTGTTGTGTCAGTGCCCTTGACACTAAGGACGCATCTGCCCAACTTCAGATATTAACTTTGAAAACTGGACCCTTCCTCCTCTGTTTTCTGCAGTGAAGACCCCTTAATAGGGGGTTTGTCCTTGCCTACCAAAGTAGTGACTAGGTGGTCATTAGAATTCCCACCAATCTAGGACTGCATATGGTGGCATATGCCAGTGATCATAGCTACTTGGGAAGCAGAGAGAGGAGGACCATGGTTCCAGGCCAACTGGGCAAAGTTAGCACAAGATGCTACCTGAAAAACAAATCAAAACCAAAAGGACTGGAGGCATAGCTCAGCCCTGAGTTCAGTCCGTAGAACTTGGAAAAAAAAAAATCTTACCAATTAAGAGTATTTGGAGAGAGGAAGAGGACCAGGAGTAGGGTCACAGTGCATTATATATATGTTTGAAAATGTCATAGTAGACTCACTAGTTTGTACAATAATATATGCTAATGAAAAATCCTACCTAGATAGATGTTTTAACTACTAACAATGCTTGACATAGATTCTTAACCTTAAAGCAGAAGGAGCAATTTGGAAATAATTTTTTCTCTATGGATTAAATTATCATACATCTTCTAGATGGTTGATATAAATGTTAAACTCTTTAGCAGTATTTCAATATTAAGGTAGTTGCATTTGATTTATGGTGAGGATGATGGATCCTATAATTATATTTGTAATTTATTTTGGAAATCATCCATACAAATTATAGAAAATCTCTGTGATTCCTATTATTGCAAGAGTGATATCTACCTCTTTATCCTAGGCTAGAGAATTAGGACTTTAAAAAAAAAATCTTTCATTGACATAGTTTCACCTTTTTTGCCAAAGACCTTTTTTTTTTCCTTATTCTATTGCCCTAACAGGTAGTAAAAAAATTTTTCAGTAATTTTTAATGAAAAGTAAATGTATATCATACTTAGAAATATTTGTTCTGTAGACCAACTCCTTGTTCTGATACTTTTTAATAAAAAATAAATTTAAAACACAAATTCATTCATATTAGAAAAAATATCGTGGAATCTCCCAAAACAAATGTAATGGGACATGAAAGCAAACTTTTTTTTAAGATGAATTTTCAACTTCATTTATAGGATAAAGATGGAAAACCACTGTTCCCAGAGCCTGAAGAAAAATCCAAGGTTGGAAAATAAGCTTTTTTTCCCCGATACTTAAAAACATCAAAAATATCAAGTATAAACTTAAATAATTTTAGAAGGCCAAATTTCAGTGTGTAGACTTATGTGCCAACTTGGTATTAAGGAGGGGGACTTCTAATGGTTAGCTGTTGGCTGATACGTGACTCTTTTTCCTATATTTTAGTGATTATTACTACTAAATACTAAATTTCTAAGACACATTCACTGAACATTAGTAGCTGATGCCAAGAGGGCTTTTAAATTAGATTATGTTAGCATTTAATTTAGAGTTTGATCTAGTCAGGACATACTAGAAATACTCTAAAAATTCTGTTTTCTTAAGTTGATAAAAACATTGGTTGCCTATCAGTAACATTAATTAATCAATTACTGGGTGCTCAACACTGCATCAAATGCTTTTCCTACTTATCTGAGTCCTCACTGAATGAGAAAGGCGGTATTATGGTATTCCCATTTTACAGTGAGGAAGCTGAGATACAGAGAGCTAATATAAATAATTCAATATCACACAGCTAGAAAATAGCAAGTCTAGCACCCAGAACTCAGGCTATCACTGCTGGGGCCCAGCTTGTAAATTATGTGCCTGTCCATCATAGATTATTTTTATTAATGAAAATATCCACATGCCCTAACCTAGTAACACCACCTCCCCTGAAAGAACTGGGGATACAGAACTTTCCTTTCAGAAACCCTTTTTCTTTCCTATAGACATAGGAATGTATGATTTGTGTTTTCTAAAGGAAGATATCTGAAATAGAAAAACCATAATCACTTTTCTCTCTTTGGATAAAAGTCTTCTGAAATTGAAGTATCAGGAAGGCTCTTGATTAAATGAAAGGCTCAATACTTTTGTAATACTGAGACATTTATAATTCCTTGTTTTTATCTTACACTGATAAATGTAAAAATCTCCTGTATGTTAGCTTTTGGTTTTAGATTCTAAAATATGTCCTAATATGTGTTAACCAAGAAAAGAAAAACATTGCCCTATGAAAACTTCTGTATATTTCAAGTAGTTATTTCATAATACACAGTGTTTCTTATGTTACAGCCCCTGAGTGAATCAGAGCTCATTGATGAACTTTCGAAAGATTTCAATCAGTCTGAATGTAAAGAAAAACATTCCAAGCCAACTGAAAAAACAGAAGTATGTTTCTGCAAATATAAATCTCTGCATTTGAAGAGTTTTTATGTTTTTTTAATATTAAAATATGTGAAATCAAAACTATTTTAGCATGAAGGAGTTGATTTTTTTTAATGTCCATTATTTTACCTTTTTAACAGTAGTTTTTGTCTTGCCTTCCCCTAGATGTTTTTTCTTTCCCCAAGCTAACCCTGATACTCTCACAACTTAAGTCCTGTGATCATTCCTTCAGGAAAGCTCTCAAATCCATGCTTTCCTTTCTGTTCCTGCTTTTGTAACTGATGGAGTTAAGTTGCCATCACCTGTCACCTCTGATCTCAATGGCTTTTCTTCAGTCTCCTGCCCACCTATCTTTTATTTCCACCAGAACTGTTCTTTCTGAAGTATGTTTATAGTTGCATAAGTCCCCTGCTCCAATGCAGGAGCTTCCTATTCCCTAAAAAAGAAAAGTTACAACTAGTGTATTCTAGCCCCAGCTTCCTTTCCTGCAAAGGTCTGTCCAATGGCTTTTCTCATTCAGACATTTCTGCCTGGACAGTCTTTCCTTCTAATTCTAGAACATAAAGTCTCATTCATCCTTTGAAGGCTCTGCTAACATGCAGCCCTCTTTATCTCCTGACTTTCCCTCCCTTAACCATACTACTCTTCCAACTTTATTAAGAGGAAAACACACAGCAGAGAGTCTATAGTTCTTTTTTTTTCTATGTCCCTTTTAAAGCATTTATAACAAGCACATTTGTAGCTGTCTTTGTTCTTCTTCAACTCATGTGTATGTAGTTTTAAACAAGTAGTAAGTTCCCTGAAAGAAGTGAGCATGCTCTATTTATGATCTTCTACTGAGTACCTTTCGTATAGGAAGGGCTTTGGTAAATGTCTGGATTAAAAACAATTGGAAATTTTATTCTTGTGATAAGGTAATTCAGTGGTTCTAAAACATTAGTGTACATTAGAATCACCAGGAACATTTTTTTAAAACACAGATTACTGGGCTCCACCCACAGAATTACTGAGTCAATACATTTGGGTGAGGACCCAAGAATCTGCATTCCCAAAAGGGTCCCTGGTGGGGCAGGTTACTTGAGTGGTCCAGTGTCACTCACTTGCACTTGAACATAGCTATTTATAATTTGCAGTATGCTCTTAGACTTATATAAATACATCATTTTATTATGTCCTATTATATCATAGGTATATTTTATACTTAAATATTATATGGCAATAAATAATATTTATATTATAATATATTTAATATATATTATATATAATTATTATTACAATAAATAATAATAATAACAGCAGTAGTTTCTCAAGTTTATTGAGTTTAATGTATTCTTGGGTACTGTGCACAGCACTTCTCGTGTTATCTCATTTACGCTCCTATCAACCCTTAAAATGTAGATACTACCACTGTTCTCCTTTCACAGATGGGGAGACTGAATCATTAAGTGGAAATAATGGTCACTGAAGAATTTTAACATGCCTTGACATATACACTACTCAACAGTCTTTAAGCATTCAAAATAATCATGCTTACAACCTGTATCTCAGAGTGTTTTGTTTGGTCCATCATTGTTCATTTTTATTAACCAGACATTTCTAAAGTTATTCATAGTACTTATTTCTTTCCCAGAAATCTAAGGCCACTGTCCCAGCTCCTGTAGCAGAGGTTGTGTCTCAGACCTCCATGTGTAGTATACAGTCAGCACCACCCAAGCCAACTTCCCTGGTGAGTGACTCCTTGGCATTGGCAAGTGTTGAAAAAGTTCTCTTCTTCCTCCCTTTACTTCCTGTTGTGTATTGCCATCATATTATTTTATTCTGAAGAAAATAAAAAAATCTGATATAGTTTATATTATTTTATTTGGGCTTCAGAGGCATGTATATGCTAGAAACTTAGGGCTACACTTAAATTTCTAACTAAATTGCTACAAGATGTGTTTTTATTTTCATCTTTTGAAATTCTTTCTAGTTCCTCAGCTATTGTCAATAAACCTGCATTTTCTCTTTCTTGCATCTTTCAGACCTATTTGGACTTTAACATGTAGCCCAATGCTACTTTTCTTATGACTCTCCTGATAGAATTATTATACCAAAATCAAGAGAAACTCCTCCCCACTTTCCAAAATACAGATTGACTCAGTTTCCTTCTCCTTTCCTTTCATTCTTGCCTGCTTTCTTTC